TTTTAATTTCTTCAATCTTCAAGCTTTGTGCCTCACTTCTTGGGTTGTTCTTGTGGGCATGCGCAAGACTGATTTCGGCACATCCCAGCCGCTTACTGTGGGCCGACTTGACAGTTTCGAGTTCGCGTGCATCTCCGTCAGTATTGATGTGGCGGTTCGTCTCCGGTTGGGCGCGCTTCGCTTTTTCCGACCAAACAGGCTCCAAGTGAGCCTGGTGAGTAAATCATTGAATGTGGAATTGTATGATTCTGGTTGCCCAGGTCGAAGGTCCGGGCAGCATGTGGCTGTCCGAGCACTGGTATCCTCTCGGCTATGGACGTTTAGTCCTGCTTTCTGCAGAATGTATTATCTACAACACAATTGAGGTTTAGAATTGAAGGATATCATCCACCCGTTTCATTGTAACGCCAAACCCGGATCAAAGATATAACGAATTATTTAGTTTCCCTCGGCCTCATTTTCAGCGGCTCTCTTGTCCTCCCATTCTTGCAGGAACTGCTGGACCTTGGGTCCCCAGACCTCCTCGCCGGCCTCGAGATCCTTGTACTCGAGCACCTTCTCGGGCTCCAGAACGAAGTCGGCCTGGCGCGAGCGGACCAGGGAGCTCATTAGTCCACAGCTGCCCACAGCCTTGCCCAGATCATGCGCCAATGAGCGAACATAGAAGCCGGACGAGACGGTCATGGTGATCTTCACGGCCGCAGGCTGGGGGCGAACGGGCGCTTCCTCCTTCTTCTCGGTAGTTTCCGGGGCACTTGCCGACTCCGCCGCCGGGGCGGCCTCCGCAGACTGTGCAGGAACGCTCTCCCCGTCCTCCGACACCTTGACCTTCTTGGCAGCGGGGGCGTCCACGGACTCTTCCGCCGCAGCCGCGGGGCCACTTCCCTCCTCCACCTTCGAGCTCTCCTCGACAGCAGCAGCAACAAGAGGAGGAGGAGGCGAGGCCTCAGCCTTCCGTTTCCCCGAGGCAGAGCCCTCCGCCTCTGTGTCCTCGCCAGCAGCCTCCGCAACCGGCAAAGCATCCTCCTTCCTCAACATGCGCTCAGCCACCTCTCTCTCCTCGCCGACCGCCTCTTCCACCGGCCACTTGTACTCATGGGTCCCAGGCTCGTACCACTCGACGACCCGGAGATCCGTCACCTCGACGGGCCGCGCCTTGATCTCGACGGGCGGCTCCAGCCCCTCGCGCGCGTACTCATACAGCCGCTTGCCCTGCACGCGCAGCGCACTGAAGATCGGGGGCCGCTGCATGATCTCGCCGCGGAACTGGTCGAGAGCGCGCTCGACGGCCGCGCGCGTGACGTGCTCGTAGGGCGCGCGCCGCACCACCTTCCCCAGCACGTCGTACGTGTCCGTCTCCGCGCCGAACAGCACCACCGTCTCGTACGTCTTCGTGCACCCCAGGAAGTTGTTCAGGTACTTGGTCCCCTTCCCCACGCCCGCCACCAGCACCCCCGTCGCCAGCGGGTCCAGCGTGCCCCCGTGCCCGATCTTCACGTCCAGCCGCTGCGTCCGCCGCCGGCGCCGCTGGTGCTGGCTCTCCCGGTCGCGCCGCGCGCGCTCGCTCGCCAGCCACGGCCGGAACAGCTGCGACGGGTTGAAGTGTTTCTGCAGCGTGCGGATCACGTCGGCCGAGCTGACGCCTTGGGGTTTGTGGACGGCTGTTTTGGAGGGCGGGGTGCGTTAGTTGTGATACACGACTAAAAAGGGAATGACAGCGGAGGGGAGGGTGGGGAAAGAGCTCATGCATACCGAACACGCCTTCGTAGATCTTTTCTCCGCTCATGGTGGTGCGGAAGAGCTTGAAGCTGCGGGGGAGGCCCATCGGCCGCGAGAGGGGTAAGTGTGGAAGGGATTCAGACGTGTGGAGGGAGGGGAATATGAAGGCTCGGTCCAAGCGCCTGAAACCAAGATTTCGGAATTGTAGGACGTGGAATCGACACAATTGATGAAATTAAATCCTAGGCCAGGTCAAGAACATCCGGAGAAGGATTCTAAATTTCGGCTCGCGGCCTCGCCGTTCTGCCGGTTTAGTCGAGACGGTCAGTCGGGCGGTCCGCGGGGGCAGAACCACTATGTTGTTGCTGTCGTCGGAAATGACCGCCCATCCCGGAGCAATGAAGTGAGTAACAAGTAGTAATAGTAGTAGTAGTAGTTCGACTGTCATGCGCCCGTAATTACCAGGAATTTATCCTCTCACCCCCGCAGACAAATGTGTAATGAAACGTAATTTCTCGGATCTCGCTCCCTCTCTCTTGGTACAGTACACTCTAGGCTTCTCCTCTCGACCCCCCTCGTTCCTGTCTGTTCCTCTGGCCAGTCTTTTCCCAATTATAATTTTCTTTCGTTCTTCTCTCGCCCTGATCCTTCTCCCAAAACATCTCTCGTTCACGCAAAGTCCCTCGAACTATCCAAAACTATCATCGTTCAGGTCGCTTGCCGGTTTACTTAAACCCTCAACCTCAGTCCCCACTGCAACATCAGCACCACAGATAACAACATGCTCCCCCCACCACCAGAGACATGACCTCGCGCGAAGATAACGTCCTCGCCGCTCGCGACCCGGCTCTGACGGACGAAAACGAGTGGGAGGAATTCAGCCTGTCCGAGGTCCGCGTTTTGTTTCCGGGAAAATCCCGCTATGCCAATCTCCTCACAGCCTCGCCGGACAATCCTGTCCAAGTAACGGGGTGTTTGGATGAAGTGGAGGAAGAACAGGAGTCTTTGGGTATGTCGTTCCTCATGTCTTTCCCCATTGACAGGATTGGATGCTGCGCTACGGCGAGTCTGATGAGGCTGACGGGATGCTGTCAACGATAGTGCTCGACCCGGAATATCTCACCAAACGCATTGTCCTAGAGAATGTCACACACTACGCCTATGGCCAACATAATGACGGAGAAGTCGGGTTCTGGGTGGCGGGGCGGGCGGGGTGGTTCTCCATCTCCCCGGCGAAAGGGTATAAACCGATGTTCAATGAGGTAGTGGAGGCGATCGATCTGTTATATTTTCTGGCGGATCGACATAAACGTAAGAGGGGTAGGAGGAAGTTCGAGGGTCCCAGTGTGGAATATCTCTTTGAGGAGGTGAGTGTCTATCCCTCTTCCCCTTATACCTAAAGGACAGAAAGGTTGGACGAGGGTCAAAAAGAGAAACAAGACCTGGCACAAGGGCAAGACATGGCTGGCGCGCGCATGCTCGGGATGCATGGCGATTGGATGATCAAGGCTAACGTCTCGGCTCTCTACCTTTTGCCTAAACAGTATGTCAGCCACACGCATGGGATCTGCGAGGATGCAGATGATTCCGCCGAGGTGTTCTACAAGCATCATAACTTTCTGCTGTCGCGGATGTTGAAGGGAGAGGAGAATGTGCAGTGGTCGACTACGCATATTCTCACCCACCTGAGTGAGAAGTTTCCAGTAGGTCTCGAATTTTATTCTCCGGTTCGGGTGGTCTGTGGGTGCTAATGACCAGCGATAGGAGGATTATGAACAGATCAAAGCGCAGATTGAAGGCGTGAACGAGGTTGAATCCGAGGAGGAGGAAGAGAGTACTCCCGAGAAGTCGGATGATGAAAAAGTCCGTGTAGCAGACTCGTCAGGGCCGACGAACGCCGACGCAATTTCGATTTACCAAGTGATCCTCGATCTCAAAGAAAAAGGATACTTGGCGAAGCGCCAGCTGAATCTCGACCTTGTCGCATCTACGCTGGTCGATCGATTTGAGATTGACGATGACGAATATGCGCACAGTCGAATTGCGGCTGGCGCTGAAGTTATCTTGGAACTCATGGATGAGGCCAAAACATCCTCATTTGACTGGTCCAGAAAGGTTATCTATCGCGAGCTGAAGGCGGCTTCGAAGCAGCATGATGGAGCGTCGCAGGAGGCGATCACCCCGCTTCGTCCGCGCATGTTAGAAAGCGAGGCATCCTCCCCTGAGGACAGCGACCAAGAAGACCTTCCCCGATTGCGCAAACGTCGAGTGCTCAAATCCGTTCTGCGGCCTAAGAGTGCAGTGGCCACGAAACGAACAGGCAAGCGCACGCGCAGTGCAGCAGCAGCAGACACGGACGAGGAATCCGACACCAATGCAGACGCTATGGACGAGTTCGAAACGCCCAGCAAGGTGCGAGGGCACGAGCTTGTCCGCGATCCGCTATCAACCCGCGCCAAGCGCAGGACGCGGTCGATCTTGTCCGACTCGGAGTCTACCGCACCTTCCATACAGAAGACATCGCTGCAGGATGTTTTCCAGAGCCGGAATACGTCCGTCTCCGCTGCCGATATCGACGCACATCCTCACGAAGAGCCTGCAGCGAATGGCACCAACGGCGAGGATGTACAGTCGGATACATGGACGTGCCAGGTCCGAGGCTGCGGCAAGATCGTGTACAAGTGCAGCACGAAACGCGGCAAGCAGCTGATCGAGGATCACTCGCTGGCTCATGCGGATGATACCAAAGCAAAACTGGATCTAGTTTTCGCGGAGCAGCGACTCAATATCGGACTCCCTGTGGATAATCTTCTCAATCGTATCCGGGAGATGGCAGGAGGGGAGGACACCGGTCTTGCGAACATGGAAGGCGTGGTCAATGGCGCTTCCGACGCAGTAGGAACGTGACTGGCAAGCATAGAACGATACACCAAGATACCCACATGACGTGACGATAATGATGGCTGCTCTTTACAGCACAGAAATGAGTGTTGCGGTGGTCTGGTCAATATCCATCATGTCAAGCCGCCTAACCATGAAAGGCTAGACATACACCTACGGTGTGATTACCGGTCCCTCGTATTGATTGCCCCCTTCAAGTCCCAGAGCAATGGGATGTTACTGAGAAGCCACCTGTCCGGTGCGTCTGAGCACGAGACCTAGCAACAGGCTCACACCACATTATCGGAGATGCAATGGGGTCGCGTCCATAGTATGATGATATGATACCATAATGAGATACCACTTTTAGCCCTACCAACTACACAACCGCAAGCAGTAGTGATTGATCAAATGCCGTCCAACCATAACCATGGATTAGTTCAATATTACACAGGTTTCAAAACCCTGACCAAGCACAGTCACGGTGTCTAAGGGGGTGGGGTAAAAATTGGAAACAATTGCTTTTTGTAAATAGAAAACCCAAACGACCTCATCCGGTATCCGAGCAAGCTAGAAAATGATGAAAAGGTAGGAAACGATGCAGACCCCCAAGAAGAAAAAGAAAAGAATCAGGCACGACCCTTGGCAGCAGCTCTCCTGCTCTTACCAGGTCTCTTGGCGCCGCCGCCGCCACCACCACCACCACCTCCCCTCGAACCGCCCTTCATCTTCCGGACGGAGAAGTCGCGCATATCACCACTCGAGACGGCATCACCGCTCTTGGAGTGGCGCTTCTTACCGCCAAAGCCGTACTTCTCGTTCTTCTTCTGACGCTTGGCGTTGGTGGCACCGTCGCTGCCGAAGGCACGTTTCCGGTTGTTGGGCTGGGCATCGTCGATGGCGATGTCGAACATCTCGTTGGCGTTGTCGGCCTCGCCGGAGGTATCAGCCTTGCGCTCTGCGAGACAGAATTAGCAGGATGTCCGAGTCGATGATATTCCTTTCCACAAAGCACAAAGCAGGGTAAAGGAAAGTTTGGAGCCGGGGGAGGGGGACATACTCTTCTTCAGATCATTGATCTTCTCCAACGTCTCGCGCTTCTCCTTGGCCCGCTGCTGCAGCTTGGCCACCTGGACCTGCTTGCCGAACTTCTTCAGGTCGCGCTGCTTGCGGGCCTCGGCGGCGGCCTTCTTGGCGGCGGCCTCGTCGTACAGCTTCTTCTTGATCTTGTCCATGTGCTCGTCCGTCTTGACCATCTCGGCGAAGTAGTCGCCGGGGCGGGTGAAGGGGATGCCCTCCTTCTTGAGCAGGGCGCGCGCCTGCGTCGCCGCCGCCTGGCAGACCTTGTAGAAGGCGAGCTCGCGGGTGAGGTCGTCGTTGGCGTCCGGCACCTCCAGCTCCTCCTTCGACACCAGCGAGTTGTGCTCCGAGAAGGGGGTCTGCGCCGAGATGAAGGAGATGCGCTTCAGCGACGCGGTGATGGCCGCCGAGTTGTTGATGGTCAGCCGCTGGTGCGGCACCACGTCTTCGCGCTCGTCGTCCTCGAGGTCGCTCAGCGGGATGTCGGATTCTTCGGCTTCTTCGTCTTCGTCGTCGTCTTCTTCGTCCTCTTCGGCGGCGGCGGATTCGTTCTCGGATTCTTGGTCTTCGGCGGATTCTTCTTCCTCCTCCTCGGCTTCTTCCTCAACCTCCTCCTCAGCCTTCGACTTCTTCACCTCCTTCTCCTCCTTCTTATCCTCAGTCTCCTCCCCCTTGGCCGCCTTCTTCTTGTTCGCCGCCCTCACGAGCTTCTTCTGCTTCTCGGCATCGTAGTCCCGGCCGCGGTGCTCGTCCAGAGCTTGGAGCAATTTGCTTCTCTTCGGCATTTTGCGGGTTCTGTGTGTCCGGTTGGAGACTCCGGAGTTGTTATAAACTATGAGAGGAGAAAAAGGAACGGAATTGTTGTGAAATTGATGGAGATCCTCGGACTTTGGCTTTCTCGAATCTTTGCGGCGGGAATTTTTTTGGACGGTAGGCTAGACTGTCTTGGGACTAGTGGGTGCGTCCTGCTGCTGACGGTGGGGCGGCCGGTTTGGGTGCCTGGGGCAAGCACAGGGTAAGTGTTGGGCGGTGAGAGACAGACAGCTCGTGGCCTGAGGCAGGCGTCGGTTACCGCAGGCTGGACTAGGCTTGATTTGGTAGTTTGATTGGGCTTCCATCAGTAGTTTACTTGTAAGAGCTTTCTTACTGGATATTTCCTTGGAGAAGGAATATGGGGTTTTGCGCTGGTTTCTGAGTGGAATAGTGGGAGTATTGTACATGAAGGTCAATGACATTGGTTGGAAGAGACCATACTTCGTTTGTTCAATATACTACTTGCTTGGATGATGAGAGATGAATTTCCTGGTATATGTATGCTTTACCGTACTATATATTGGATATATATACTTCCATGACTTTTTAGACTGCCTGTATAACATAGTATCGAGATGCTTTGCGTACTTGAGAGACATTTGAATTGACTTCTCAACGAAAAGAATGGTCAAACCATGATTTTAGCACTATACGGAGCATAGCATTCTAGTTTAACCTGGCTCTAGTTCTCGCCTAGAATACCTTATGCTACACTCCATTAGAGGTTATGATAGCCTCCTAGAGATACACCCATAAGCTCCAAGCCAGACTGACCATCATCTCCAGCCCTCACCCACGCCCGCCATCCAGCAAAGAAACCCTCCATAGGCTAACCACCATCCTACCGAACAAGAACCACCTTCCCTCTCCCCTCATACCTTCCATTAGCAAACTCATAAGCCTCCCTCACCCTCTCAAACGGAAACGTCCGATTCACCAACGACACCAACGCCCCGGCGCCCGCCAACCCCGCCAACCAGCGCAACTCCTCCCCACCCCCTTGGACAACAAAGAACAGCGCGCGAACATCCTCTCTCCCAATCCCACGCTCCCTATGCCGTTCCACAAAGTCAAAGCTGCTCGAATCCACCGAAATCAGCGCCCCACCCGCCTTCACATACCCCCAGCACCGCGCCAACACCTCCCCGCCCACCGCATCAACCACGACATCAAACCCCGCCTGCCGCTGCTGTGTCATTGCTTCTAGATCTGCATACTCAACCGTCTCATCCGCCCCCAGCCCACGCAGGAACTCCCTATTCCGGGCGTCCGAGCTCGTCGCAGCGACGACGTGCGCCCCCGCCACAGCGGACGCAAGCTGCACCAGATGAATCCCCACGGCGCCGGCGGCGCCTGTTACTAGGATCCTGACTTGCGGAGCCTGCGGAGCTTGCGGCGCATGCGGAGCATCCAGCTCACCACCACATGAGGCAGATCGGGGATGGGATGAGAATCTCAGCTTCTTGCGTGTGGCATTTCTGACGGCATCCTCGATGGACGGCCGCGCAACAACCCCGGCATGCACGAACAGCGCCTCGTACGCCGTCAGCGCGCTCAGCGGCAACCCCGCCGCGGCCGCCCAGCTCAGCGCGGCGGGCTTGCCGGTCACTTCTTCGGCTGTCGCGACGGTGTATTCCGCCCAGGTGGCGGCGCGGTCGGCATGCGTCATGCCTAGGACTTCGTCGCCGGGGTGGAATGCGCGGCTGCTGCTGCTACTGTCGTTGTCGAAGACTTCTATGACGGTGCCGGCGAGGTCGTTGCCGGGGATGGCGTAGTCGTGGTGGTAGGTCTCGGGCCAGGCGAGCATGTCCCGGACTATGGTGGTGGCGTGGACGCGGATGAGGAGCTCGCCGGGGCGAGAGGGTTTGGGGATGGGGATTTGGGCGTCTAGGTGGAGGGCGGTTGCGGGGGCTGGGTTGGTGGGGGAGTAGGGGTTGGGGCTGGTGGGTGGAGCGGGGTGGAGGCGGATGGCTTCCATTTTTGGGGGATTTGTTCTGGTTTGTGAAGTGGTGTTGTGGTTGATGGATTTGGGGACGGAGTTAGGTAGGGTGGATAGTCAGATATGTGTCTGTTGTCGGGTATGAGGGTCCATGGGCATGAGAATAGTGGAACCGTGACCAGGTGAGAGATAATGACTCTCCCAAATGACGGATTTAATAAGCTATATATGACAATGTAGCCGTGGAAGAAGCTCAGTCTGGAACGCCTCCCCGGGGCTGCTCGAGTATCCCGTATCCCGTATGCGGTATCCCGAATAGCCTATCCGTTGGATACCCGGACACGAACCCCCTCACCTTGAGTAACCGGGGCATGGCGATACTCAAGCTGTGCTATCAGGCTGTTAAAGGCATTCTTGTATCGTTACCCCGATTCTACTTCCTCTTGCAGTCCCCACGCCAAATCCCACAAGCATAAAGAGAACCCACCCCTCGCACCAACAATCCAAGTGAAAGCCCATACAACCAGCCCACCTCGCCTACAGAACGCACCTTCGAACTATACAAGGCACACCGCACAATGGAAGAACCCACCTACGACCCAAGGTAACTCCCTCACATGCACACCCTCATAGCACCACTGACAGCAACAGCTGCCCCCTCGCAACCACCACCCTCGTCTACCAATACAAACTAGTCAACTGCCCCGGCAAGACTATCGTCGGCCTGCTCGTCGAATACCCTCCCAACGGCGCCACGCCACCCCACCGACACGGCGGCGCGTCCGTGTCAGCCTACGTGCTCAAGGGCTCCGTGCTGTGCAAGATGAACGACGACCCGATGCGGACGATCGAGCAGGGCGGGTCGTGGTACGAGGCGCCCGGGTGCCATCATCGGATCAGCGCCAACGCCAGCACGACGGAGCCGGCGGCGTTCCTTGTGAACTTCGTGCTGGAGACGGAGGTGTTGGAGCGGGAGGGACCGGGGGTGTTGGTGCAGATCGATGAGGAGTATAGGGGGGTTGTTGCGAGGAAGATGCAGATGGAGGCGTGAGGGATGTTTAAGAGTGCGTGGGTATGGGCGTTGTGTTTGGACTTGATTGATTTCCTTCCTGGCTGGAAAGTCTTTATAGGCTTCTCTTTATCTCGTAATCTAATCAAGCAGAGACAAAACTGAAGTGGTGATTCAGGGTTGATGCAGCCTTGACTCGATAGATGACGATGATGAAGTATAGAACCCAAGTCAATCGCCGCTAATCCCGAACGGGCCCGCCTTCCGTAGCACGCCATACCCTTTGCGGTACTTTGCTTGTTTCCGTGCCTTTGTTTCTACCACAGAGCTGTCTGTGTAGAACTTCGATATCCCTCATACTTCCTTTCGAACTACAATCTCATGGTCTAAACTCAGTACTCGAACCAAGAAATACATCCTCAAAGATCCATCCTTCGCCCTCAACCTCTACTCCACGCCTACGCCCCAGCCCACCAGGGAAAGCGGACACCGGGCAACACTCCGGCCCATCGCCGCACCGCCGCACCGCCGCGCCGTCCCCTCCATACCTCAAATAACCTCCAGGAAACTGATCAACCTCCAAATCAGCGACACAGAACACCAAACCACCACCAGCACCACCTCAACCCAAGAAAATACCACAGCACAATGACCGAAGAATCCAAATCCCTTCCTCCTCCGCCTCCACCTCCCCCACCCCCAGCTACCACG